GAGTCCTCCTGCGTCCCCTGACGGGAGGCCCCTCCCACGTGACTGCAAAGCCAGGACTCTCGCTGGTGGACTTTGAAGGCCTCGTGTGAGCACACTGCGCCCCCGGGATAAATCGGGCAGTGCTACATTCTAAGGTCAGCTGTTCCCCAATCTTACCTCCATCTGCAGGAGGATTCCCATGTGGACATCTCTGTGGGACATCTGTGTGCCAACCACACCCCCACTCCTCTAGCCAGACCCCGGTGTCCAGCCCATCAGGGGGTCTTGTGAGTTCTACCTCAAACACACACCTTGGGCCTGTCCTGCCCCCTCTACCAACAGCCACTGGCCTGACCTCAAACTGCTGCTGCCAACCTCATCACCCTCTGCCTGGCAGCATGCCCCTACCAACCTCGTCACCCTCTGCTTAGAAACTTCCAAGCTTCATCTCGGCTCCTGGGGCCCAAATCCCCATGTCCTCTGAAGGTCTGTGTGCTCACGGACCCAGGTGGGGAGCTGTGCCACGCCTCAGACAGCCTCTTCTTTCTCCGACGGAGAGACTGGTGGGTTTGAAGCACCTCTCATTGGCAGTCCGGCAGGGATTCTTAGACTCAGTAACAGTGAAGGACAACTTCTGAAGAGACTGGAATCTGTAAGTTGATTTTAGAAGTTGTGTGTAGAGTCCTCAGTCCATGTGTGTGAAAGTGTGTAACGCAGCCATCCACTGGACGGGCAGACGGACAGATGAGGAGCTGTTGCTTCTGCTGGAGCGGAGGACGGGTGCTGCGGGAGGGCGTCCCAAACACACACCAGCAGCCCTTCACCCCTGGAGTCAAGGCAGATGAGGACAGGTCCAATGTAAGTCCATTTGGAAGCATCAAGAGGAAACGCACAACTCTTTTCCCTCTGCAGGCATAATCCCGTGCTGGTCAAATGCCCACGTCTGCAGTCCTGATGAAACCCCCCCCTTCGCATGGAGAAGCTGGCAGGAATGTGTGGAGAACAGCGTGTGGCTGGGGCGGGGCTGCAGAAGCACCTCCTCTTTATTCCCCTTCCAGCGCCTTCTCTTTCGAGGGAAGGAATCAGCCGCAGGCAGCAGGCAGCGGGCAGGCTGGTTTAGACCGACACAGAAAGTACAGTCCAACAGTCGGGTCCGGCTCAGGCCTGGCCGTGGCAGAGCCCGCGCTCCCTGACCACCACCTTCAGAGCGCCAGCAGGGGCCCCTGTGGGCCATCAGCCCACGGCTCACCCTGCCCCACCAGCCTCTGGGGCTGCTGCCATGGTGCCCAGCACAGGGAATGAGTGAATGGCTATACCCATCACTTCTCTGGCTCATGTCTGCCGAGTGCCTTGCTCAGACCCCATGAGGCCCTGGCACCCCACCCCCACCCCCACCATGTTCAATCTGGGCCTCCCTCACAGCCCTCCCACAGCCAATGCCACGCTTGGCATGGCCAGCCGCCCACAGGCCTCCTGCCGGGAGTGCTCGCCGGTCTGAAAGGCTGCCTGTGTCCTCGGGCCTGGGGAAGGGCACTCGCCTTGGCATTTAGCACTGCCGGGGCCAGAATCCCAAATGTGACCACAGAGCAACAGCTGCCCCCGCTGCACAAACCAGTGGCCCCAGAAAGAACTGGCTAGGGTCAGAGACGGAGTGTTCTCTCATTCCTATCCCCTCCCTCCGTAAGCGTCCAGCACCTTCCCAGCCCTCACTGATGCCCCCTCTGCCCCACTCCTGCACGATCCTCGCTCACCAAGGCCTGGTCTCTGGCTCCTGCCTAACTGGCCATCATCTGCCAATTGACCATTGTGGGGCGTGACCCTCGGGAGGGCCCTGTCACAGGTGTGCCTGAGCCCCCTGCTGGGCCTGCGCACCTGACGCTCATGCAGCTGCAGAGGCTCTGGCTTTGCCAGCCACACTTCTGGGCAGAGCGGCGGCCGGCCGGACGGACGGACGGCCGAGGCACAGCAGGTAACCACACTGAAGAGTCCACCCAGCGGGTTCTGATGGGCGTCCCGCGAATGTTTTCAAGTTTTCACCCCTATGCCCTTTATAAGCCCAGTCTGTGAGCACATGCAAGTGACCATCTAAGGGTCACATCAGCTGTGCTGTGCACAGCACACAGAACAACAGGGGATGCATGGACAGCCAGAAACCCACCAAAGGCCGGCCTGGCCTTTGCTTCTCTCCAGGCCTCTCAGCGCTCACGGCTCACGCCCCACGCCCACCACCCAGTGGGTCACGAGGAAGACCTGTATGTTGGGGGGGTGGAGAGGACGAAGGCATCTCTCCTCTTCAGGGTGGGTCTGGCCACACCTCCCAGCCGGCACACCCCTCACAGATGCACAGGCCTCCTCTCAGGCCCTTCAGTCAGACCCCCCAGCCCTGAGAACAGACCCCTCTCAGACAGTGAGGACAGGCCCCTCTCAGCCCTCAGGACAGGCCTCTCTCAACCCTAAACACAAGCCCCCTCCTCTGGGGCCCCTCAGTCCTGCCCCTGCCACCACAGACTGTCCCCAGATTCCATCTGAGCCTCCCGCTGTCTTTGCTGTCATGGCTCCTTGAGCTGTCCCCCTTCTCTCCCCTTTTCCTGCTGCTTCGCCCCAGTTTCTGGTCGCTCCCCACCCTCGAGTTCCTCGCCTTGCAGCTGCATCACTTGAACCCCAGGCCCCACCTTCACGTGGCCGTCTTCCCTGTGCATCCTCATCTCTGGTCCAGACCGCCCTCCTCCTCTTCCCTTGTAAAGACGCCGCTGCTCGGTGTCACCGCGGGGTGACTTCCTCTCAGAATCCTGGATTCGTCACAACTGCAGGTGTGCGTGTCGGGTCTCGCCGTGCTTGCCGCATTCCGTATCCCATGTGGGGCCCGGGTCTGGGCAGTGCTAGTCCGTGTGCCATACAGTTGCTGAGAGCAGCGTGGGGAGGGCTGGGAGATGTGGCTGGAGGGGGAGCAAGTGTCCGTCATACGGGGCCTGAGGCACGTGCACGTTCCGCCTGGGTGGCAGTTCAAGGGGGAGGCCGGCTCAGGGCAGCTGGGAGGACAAAGTGTGTGCTTTGGGAACTGGAACACTTGAAGCAGCTGTAAGAGACGGACGGGGCTTGTGAGGCACCAAGACCAGAGCCCGGCGAAGCGAGGGTGCTTCATGAAGGCCGGTCTGCATGATGAGGCACCTCTGAGTGCTAGGTAAGGGTCCCCCCTCCAGACCAAGGTTCCAGCCTTTGTGTTTGGGACGATGGGTGCGTGCTTCCTACACCAAGTTTCTCTGTGCTGAAGTCTGTACCCCCACCCCCCACAAAAAAATGTTAAACAATGATGGGAACCACTTGACTTGACACAGTTGGCAAGGAAGCAGGAGCCCTGTTAAGTAGCTCAATACCACACACATGTCCAGGGTCAGGCAGGGGAAGGGTTCTCCAGATGGGAGCCAAGCATAGCTTCGCAATTCAGCCAAATGCCAGCCCGCCCCCTGAAAGAACAGCACTGTCATGGGGGTGGGGAGTTGGGGTGGGGGGAGCCACTGGGGAAGGGGACAGAGCAGCAGCACAGACCTCTCCCTGAGCCCTGGCTTCCCTTCTCTGCCCTGTCCCTCCACAGAGACAGCCCCTGCCAGCGCCCCTGTATTCCACTTGTTTCTCACCCTGGAACTATTCTCAAAAGGGCCCGAGAGACAGCATGGCTTGCAGATGAAGGCAGCAACAGACACAGAAGAGGGCGAAGGGCCAATTACCAAGAGATAGCCATCAGGTCAAAGGTTGTTCACAGCAGCTCTGCCACCGTCACATCTCAGTTGCCCGAGAGTTAGTCATCAGTCAGGACGGCTGCTGTCATCGGGGTCAGGTACCCTGAGTCGGTGCCAACCCAGCAACCCTACATGAAACACAACGAGACGCTGCCCAGCCCTGTGCCAGCCTCGCCACAGCAGCTGCGCTTCAATCCACCGCTGCAGCTACCATGCCAATCCTCTCTCTGGAGGGTGTTCCTGCTTAGACTGAGTGGAGGGGACAAAACCCCAAGCCCCACCAGAAGGCCCCTCCCTGTGACTCCTTCCCCTAGTCCCTTCCCAATCCTCTGTGCATCCCCGTGTTCCCATCGCCACAAGGCTCTCTTGTCTCTGCCATCCCCAACTTCCCACTGGCTTTGATGGAAGCTCTTACTAGCCTTCTGTCAGGCACTAACCCGGGGAGGCAGACAGACCTCAGCACCTGTGGCACCTGCCTGCCTCCCGGTCCTGGAGACTGAGTGCCTCAGTCAGCTGCCCCTGCCAGCCCGAAGACCACTGGGAAGCTCCCGCTGTTCCGACTGGACTCAGACAAGGATGTTCGGGTCCTCACCCCTCCCTGCCCGGGGGCTCCAAACGGCTATGTCACCAACCTTCCATTTCAAGAGAAGTTCACTTCAGGACAGAACTAATTCTGTGTGGCATTCTCAAGGCTGGCTAATTTTATGCAAAGTATTTCCGGTGCTCCTGTCTCCTCCTGCCCTGGGGCCCTGGATGGGGTTCCAGTGCCAAGCCACCAAAGCCAATCAGACAGGGCTTGGGAGCTGGACAGTGTCCATGATGTCCCCAGCACACTGTGGGCACTGAAGATTTTTAAAATATTTTCTGTGTGTGGTCTGCTGGCGCCGTGTCACAGCCAGAACACCCCGACCCCTCTCACTCCCACCAGCGCTCACACCACGGACCAGACCAACACAGGGGTCGGAAGCTCCCCCACCCCTGCCGGAACGGCCTCCCTGCCGGCGCAGCCCCGTCCCCACCCCGGTTTCCTGGCGCCCCCAAACTTCCTAGCACGACCCGAGTCGCTTCCTGCCCACGCCCCGTGGGAGCCCACGAGTTTGGCAGAAGAGTCAGCGACTCCGCCTACGTGCAGCGCTGCTACCTCCCGGGCCCCACGCGCGACCCCCATCGGGTCCCGCGAGCTGCTTCCCCGATGCCCAGGTCCCCGCTCCCGGACCCGAACCGCATCTTGCCCACAGGTGCCCTCTGACCCCGACCCGACCCCGCGCTCCCCGTCACACCCACCTGCCCGGGACTTTGCTGGTGCTGCGCTTCCAGAACTGCTTCCTGGCCCCGTCGCTGGCCATGGCCCCTCTTCATCCCTCAGGCCCGCGGCGCGACACCGCAGCGTGGCCGGCCCGCCCACACTGGCCCGCTCCTGTCCCCCGAGTGGCCCTCCAGCGGTCCCGGGACTCCAGAGCGCAGAGCCAACAAGCTCTTCCGCCTCTCTCCGGAAGTTGTGCCTCTGCGAGTCCGGAAGTCCCGCCTCGTTCCCAGGCGGCGTGCGACGCGCGGCTTCTGACGTCAATAAGGGGCGACGCAGACGGCGGCGCGCAAGGAGGACGGCGTGGCCTCTACGTTCCTCGGCTGATCCCTTGTTTCCGACTAGGCGCCGACCTGTGAGGTCTGTGTCCGACGCTCCCGTTTTCCTGTGGACGGCTTTGAAGAGGCCCTGGTGGTGCAGCGGGTTAGGCGTTGAGCTGCTAACCACA